AGGGTCTTAAGCCCTGAGCCCTTATATAACCCCTAAAGCCCTGGTCCTTTTGGTTTAGTACTACTGTAATCTTGGCTCTATTAAAACTCATACAATCCTAGGCCCCACCTAATGTTTTTAATTAACTTTCAATTGTGGGCCCGAAACGGCAAAATTCCGGGGGGCGGCAATTTTAATATTAGGGGGGGGATTTAATATTCGTGGGAAGCGATTAATCCTCACAGTGTAGTAGATAATGTAGTCGCAGTATAATCTTCTCCAGATCCATTTTTGATAGTTATTGCTCCTACATGCTGTGTCAGAAATGCCCAGGAACTGCGACGAAGCGCGCAGCAACAAGGCGAGCCCGCGAACCGTGTCTCTGCGGGGATTCACGCAGTGAGCTTACCGTTTAAGGTGTCTTGCACATGGAAAGAAGGGCTGAAGGCAACCACTGCATGACCGTTTGAGTCCACAGGATCTCGATGTTTTTCAAATTTGGTTTGGGGTACAGGGCAATGATTAGGGTTTCTGGTTGAGGGTTGTGTTGTAAAGCGTGAGCTCCATGCTAATCCCCAATCTTATTTCATCACCATGCTCGTGCCGGGAGGCCCGCATTCACACCCCAGTGACAAAGCCCGGAACCTTTAACCTGCCAACGCAGAACGACCCTGCACAGATCTTAATTATGCCGGATTTCAGAGCACCTCCGTGATCCATCCCAGAAGACTCAGCCCGACTTTCAAAGCTGCAGGGTTTGCAGAGGTTGCAGTTTCGAACTGTTCAGGTCTTCGGGTTTGGGGCCTCTAGGACTCTAGGGCCTACATTCCCATAGAGCTTGCGAGACTTCTGTCCTTGCAGGTTCTTCTTTAGGGCTGGTGGGTTTGAAGCTTTTTCGACTTGAAGTCCTTTTTCGACTTGAAGTCGGTCCGCGACGACAAGATTCAGAGCACTGGTCGTCTACGGCCCTGACAGCGGTCCTCAAGCCGATAACCTCGAATTGAAAATGCCGGTCAAGAGACCCCTCACCTAAACCCGAAACCCTAAACCCCTAAACCATAAACCCCAAAACCCTAAACCATAAACCCCTAAACCCCTAAACCCTAAACCCTCACCTCCGAGACCCGAACCCTAAAGACTCCGAAAGACCTACAGCCCTAAAGCCCCAAAGTTGTAAACCTCCAACCTCTCCAGCTCTTTCCTTCCTTTGGCTACACTTACCAAAAACCGACAAAAAGCCCATAAGTCCAAATTTTTCGGAAGAGAAGCAAAGCCCGAAAGCATCGCGCCTCAAACCCCAGAGAACGCCCACATGAGCCCTTGAATCCTAAACCCTAAAGCCTTGGAAGCGTGAGAGCTGAAACCGCTCCCAACCCTGTAACCCTAAACCCAAAATCATCCTAAACCCTAGGATTTAGGGTTTAGGGCCCTCAACCCTTAGAAGCCTAAGCCTTGTCCTGGAACTTGGAAGCTTTTGCGCTGCGCAGCCGGCAGGATGCGCACCGCTGCTTTGACTCCCTCACAGTCGAGGCTGGGCCTGGGCTTAGGATTTTAGGGTTAAGGGTTTTAGGTTCGTATCTGTGAGCGAGCCCATCCTTGATTCCTTGCAATCGACGACCCATGGAAACAGAGGGGATTCCTGCTTGGGCTTGGACCCTTCAACATCTACCGTGCTTTTCCAACATGTACGACCCATCACAACGGAGGGTATGCGTAACCCTAAGACACCAGGTCCTGCAGCATCCAGGTCAGCCTCGAGGCAGCCCCAAAGACCAAACAAAAGCAAAGTCCAAAGACATCACAGAATCCAAAAACCTACAAACCTTAACACCTCAAAACCTTAAGGCCTGAAAACCTTAAAACCTTAATCTTAAAACCTTAAAACCTTAAAACCTTAACCTTTGAACCCCCAACAACAAGAAGCGACACTCGTACAAAGCCTAAAGAGGCCTCCGATGGCCGGGTCGCCCCTGAAGCGCCCCTGCAGCCTTCCCTCGCTACAAGGCCGTGTCCGCGGTGCCAAGGGTTTAGGGCTTTAGGGTTGTTAGGGTTTTCGGATTTTAGGGCTTTAGGATTTTAGGGCTTTAGGGTTTTAGGGTTTAGGGTTTTAGGGCTTTTAGGGTTTAGGGTTTTAGGGTTTAGGGCTTCAGGATTTAAGGGTTTTAAGGTTTAAGGGCTTTAGGGTCTTAGGAATCAGGGCTTCTGGCATCGGACCTAACCTTCAAGGCGACGAGGGGTTTCTTGGGAGGTTTCCTTGAGGGACGACTTGCTTGTGGGGTGTGTCTTAAGTTTTGCAAACGGCTTTCTTATATGGCATTCCCCTGTCCTGAGTTTTGCCTATGTGCTCCTGAATTTCAGTATGTTTGGATTGAATGACTCCGTTGCAATAATTGTTCAGGGATTCTGCGACCATAGCGATTGTGGGTTTAGAAGTTCGCCTAAGCGTGGGTCTTGATGATCCGGATCTTTTGGTTTAGGGGCACCTGCATAATGTGTGTGTGTGTGTACAGGTCTGCATGTTTGCGCATAGTATCTGTTATTGTCCTTGCTACTTCATAAGCTTCAAAACCCACCAAAACTCTATCATAGATGTGAACGTCCTCATCTTGGGATGCAAGTTGCACCACGTACGCTGTGCAAGGGCCTATGGTTCGTGGCTTTTCGTTCTGGGCTTCCGAAGCGTTTGGAGTTCTTCGCGGAGCTACGAAATCGGCAGCGCTTTTTGTTTCGATCCTGCAGGGAGCCCCAGCAATTTCGAATGGCATCCCTTTTTATGTAGCACTCCATGTGCACAATCTACTCCAAAGCCCTGCTTTAACGTACCTAGATCGAACATCGTCCTAGAAGGAAGATCATTTCGGTCGCCTGATGTTGTAATCTTGAAACACACACCCCAAACTGCCAACAAGCATCAACAGCATGGTCAAATTAGGGATTGCTGCACCCTGCTCCTGCGTTGCATCACAAATTCGGCTGTCTAGGCCTGCAGCCATGCAAGTCACTTCTAGCAGCTCTAGCATTATCCGTAGCACCAAAAACGAGCAAAACTGGTGTTTGGGCCGTAGAAGCAGTACCAGAAGGAAACATCGATAGCGGTAGTCCTCGTGCTACACCCAGTTATAGTAACACTTGTAGTAGTCGAAGTGACAGTAGGCTTCGTCCATGTAGAAATACGGTCCCAACGTGGTCAGGTGTGGCTGCAGACGAAGCTTCCGAGACATCGGAAATGACACGGGAGCGACCGCATCCCCCTTCATTCTATTGTGCCATGGTCAGCACTGTCAGCTTGCTAGTCGGGTTTGGCGGTTTGCGCCTGCTCAGTGAATGTGGTCCTTCATTTTCCTTAAGCTGTCGGCGCCTGTGGTCCACATACTGAGAAGAGCCTTGGAGTGTGGTTGGTTTGTATTATCGAGCCAGGCATGCAGACAGATCAGCCTGTTTGTTGGCTTCTCATCGGCTCAAGTGCTAGACCTCAGGGGCCAGTCAGCCAAGCTCCCCCAAGCCTCGACAATCAGCAGTACCAAGGCCCCATCAGCCGACAGTGCCTTTGCTGTGAACTAAGTAATTGGATTTGAGCCTGATGTGGAGGTGTAGATGTTGAATTCGGATATTCGATCCAGTCAAGGACGTTTGCAGGGAGTCCTGGTGCCGAAGTGCTTCGCGCTCCTCCTGTTTCCACCTTTTCTATTACAGCAACCCTGTAGTACCCCTTATAGAACTGGCAGAAGGCGTCCCTACAACCTGCCGTCTCAGATGCGCTTTTTCTGGCGCCGACATGTTTCCCGGAGTTGACATGCATGATCCCTGCCCTAAACCCTTATGGCGGGAAAGTGAGGTGCATGCATGATCCCGTAATTCTATCCGACGGTCACACCTATGAGCGTCGATACATCGAGAAGTGGCTCTTGCACAAGGACCCGGGATTGATTTTTCCAAACTGTCCCCTCAGTGCCTCCACAAATGAACATGCCCCGCCGGGGATTCGGGAATACATACATATATATGTATATATACACATGTGTAGCATATATATATATATGTATATACATACACATATTTGTTTATATCCTCCGTCTACATTGTTCTCAGGTCCCCCAAAATAGCACGACCCCTGCATCGAAAGGGCCCTGAAAAGGACCCTAGTCTGGAGAATTACTTAAACTATGTTGATATCTACAAGTCACCGCTTCCCATGCGACTTCCCGGTGAGCCCCGTATCGTACCCGACACTCAGATGATGAGCGGCATCTTCCAAGTTTCAAGTTCACCTGTGACATAGCCAGCAGTTGAGTTGTCGAGATCCCCAGAGAGCCCAATACCCCTTAATTAACGAATATAACTTAAATCATAATACTAAGGCCCCTATAGCTTAAGGTATATTCCTCAATTACGGGGTACTGGGCTCTCTGGGTCCCATGCTTATGAGATGCCGTTGTGCACGAAATCGATCTTTCGGGCCTCGAGTTCAGACCTCCTCACCAAGGCCTCCCACCGATCGCCTTTAAACCGACACCTCCCGTGCCCCACAACCCAAAGGCTCTGAGCCCTACACCTTCAAGCCTCTCTCTCTCCGTCTCTCTCTCCTTCCCTCTCTCTCTCTCTCTCTCTCTCTCTCTCTCTCTCTATGTAACAAACTATTTATCTTTCTCTCTCCATACATATATGGGTAGCTCTGTCAATCAGCGTCCCATTTTAGGTCCCCAGTATAGTACGGCACCCTTAATTAAAAAGGCCCTTCAAAAGGGGGGCCCTAGTTTAGAGAACCACCCATATACACACATATATATATATATGTATGTATGTATGTATGTATGTATGTATGTATGTGTGTATATACATACACATGAGCATATGTATGTTAAAGCCCAAAGCCAACTTGCCTTCGACCCCAAGCCTTCGAACCGCAGCCGCCCTAGCCCTACTACTAGGCCAGAACAAGCTATTTAGGGTTGAGGGTTCAGGGTTTACGTAGGGTTTAGGCTTTAGGGGTTTAGGGTTTAGGGTGCACCAGGACACTTCCCCTGTGAGTGGAGCGAAGCTGCCACAGAAGTCCTTCGTGCACAGGGCTCAGATCTCTCAAAAGCTTTGTTCTAGGGTTTAGGGTTTAGGGTAGTCCATTGAGGTTTGTGTGGTTCAATCAAGGTTCAGCGGGTTGGGGGTGTTTAGGAGTGTGGCTTAAGGGTTTAGCATTGCAGTTCTATTGAGAAAGGTTCACAGACACAAGATTCGTTGGGGAGTGCCATGGACGAGTACAGAAAGTGGCGTGATGTTCTTGGTACACCTGGCAGAATACTGTATCCTGTCACCCCTGAAGCACACTATCACTCCTTGTATGTGTTTGTGTGGCCATTTGTGGGCATTCTCAGCATAGTTATGTTATCTGCAAACAAAGCCTATACGGCACATGAAGTATGAAGAGCCTTCATACATCCCTCATAGGATCGTATGCACATATCGTGATTCCATGACGCGACTATATAACTGTCATACAAGATGTAACGCGGATATATCCAGGCATCCTCAACACCAGTAAAGGCTTTATAACAAGCAGTGAGAGACCCTTATCAAGCCCACATAGTTTAGGGCATGTGGCGAAAGAGCCCGACTCTTGAGCCCAGGCCGAATCATGCACTTCGAAATGCCATTGATGCTTGTCCAGCAGTGTCCAGTTAGACGTATCGTCTCTTGTTCTAGACGTTTCTGTAGAATAATTTTCGGTACAGGGTAGAGTTTCTGTTTCAGAGTTTAGGGATTAGGCGGTTGAGGGTGTAGGGAGTTCAGGGGTTGTCACTCCAAGCACTGGATCATGGGCCTGGTTTGTTTGATGAGTCTTTTTGCGCTGCTTGTGGCCGTTCTCCATACATCTCAGCCCAGCCAGCCCAGCCGTCCTAATGATATCTGCCTCGCACCGATGTCCTAAATGACGGGCACGTGGAGTTGAGTACCCTTCAACTTAGGGTCTTAATTAAGGATCCCTACTATAACTTGTTGCTGGTTAGGGACTCTACGATATTGTTGGCAACGCCGGCCGCTAAGGAAGAGTATTTCGAGCAGGTGCTCTCTCGCCACCGCGAGGCGCGAACGGTTTACTTGCGTGATTCATTTTTGCCACTCGTTCGACGGTTTTCGTCATCGCAATATATCATAGTCGTTTCCTTCGGAAGCCAGGTTTTGATCACCATCTCCGGCGCTACCACCATTATGGTACAACCATGTCGAGAAAAGATGGGCTCCAAGTCCAGGCAGTGTAACGCGTCGCGGACTTTTTCAAGCAGCCGACTGAAATGAAGACTCCAACTAGTACAGCATCCTTGGATAACGAGCCGTTTACAGGCATCCCACCACACAAGCAGCCAGCCCAGAAGCAGCTTCTAATGAAAAACGAAGGAGATAAAGAGAGCGAGCGAGCGAGAAGGAAGGCCTCCAGTGAGCAGAAGGAACAGAATAAACAAAAAGTGCAGGAAATGGAGAGGCGAGAGAGTTTTGAGAGTGTTTAAATGAAAGTACCCTGCCTATCAAGCAGTTCAAGCAGTTTTCACCCAAGCTTTGCAAAACGCTATCCAAGTTGTCTGTCTTGAGCAGGCCGCTATGTAGCCCCAATTTCCTCAAATCTCCGCTGAATTGGAGCCATTTTTGCAGCTTCAAGGCATAAGCACCAGCCCAGTTGAGTTTCGAGGGTGACGCCCCGCCCTCTGCATTATTGGTAAGCCTGATCCTCGGAGGCCATCCAGCATACCACCGCCGGCCTCGTGAAACGACATGGCAAATTCAGCTGCAATTCCGACACCTTTCTGCACCTAACGGACGGTCGAAGGTTTTGGTGGTTGAGCATCTTCTGGCCTTCTTGACGCCTCCACCAAGTGCCCATGTGTGTCCTTCATGTTATGCGCCGACCCTTTGCCTCGATAGCCCAAACCCTCTCATCCACCCCAAATTGGATATCTCAACATCCTAAACCCTAAACCCCTAACCCCTCTACTTTAAACCCTAAACCCTAAAATAGAGGCAGTGCTTTGCAACATCTTGCAACATGCAGGGCCATCGCTCCGGGATGGCCCGTTGACCATGTGTGCTCTACAGTTGGATTGCTTTGGGAGGTCTAGAAGACCTAAGCCCAATCGCCTCGACGTTTAGGGTTTAAAGCATAGGGTTTAGGGTGTTTCGGGTTTAACGTTTAGGATTTAGGGTTTAGGGTTTAAAGTATAGGGCTTAGGGTTTGAAGGCGACCCAGCTGAGGCCATTCTTGGCACCATTGACTCACTGATGCAGTGCTCTTCGGCAGCAGATATGGAGGCCCGTGGCAGTCGTATCCCAAGCCCCCGTGTTTCCTGCCATGTTTAGGGTTAAGGCGAAGAGGTGGGAAGACATAAGCGCTTGAAGCCTGCAGGCAGCGCCAAGTCGGACAGAACTACAAACAACCGACGACTAAGCACGAAGTTTGAAGCCGTCCAAGCTATCTCGACGATCTTGTTTGGGCTGGATTTAGCATGCAGAAGAACAGCAGGGGTTCGTTGGTGCAGAGTTTTCTGTATGGGTTGTCGGACTCGATATACAGCTCGGTACTCGGACCGTCTATCTCGTGCCCAGGGCGATGCTACCATGCCCAGAGTCGGTGCATGGGTTTCTCTTGTCTTCCCAACTGCTCGTGCTTAACCGAGGTTCGATTCTGTTGTCCCTTGGCCCAGATGGTATGTGGATATATGGAGAAACTTCTCTCTTCCTTCAGCTGCGCATCTCCTGTTTGAGAACATGTACGCGTACTGATTGCGGGACATCCGTCAGGGAGCGTGCAGAGGAGCAGGGAGCAGGGTGTTGGGGTCCACGGGGCGGCATCAGTGTGAAGGGCATTGAGCCATGCCTTGCAATGGCTCGTTTCAAAGCTCTAAGACTCTAAGAACCCTTCAAATGCCCTTAAGGACCCTCAACCTGCAACCCCCTAATCCTTAGAAAGAACCAGCCCTTACGGCCTAAAGCCCCCCGAAGCCCAAAACCCTCAATGCCCTTAAACCCCCCTAAACTCTAAAACCCCAAAAAAACCCTCAAAGCCTCAAAAGAATGCGGATCTCAGTGTCGAGCCCTCAACCCCCCTAAACCCTATATACTACAGGCCCTCAAAGCCCCTCAAAACCCCTCCAAAGAATGCGGATCTCAGTGTCGAGCCCTAAACCCCCCTGAACCCGGAACCCTAAACCCTAAACCCTAAACTAAACCCTAAACTCAAAGGAATGCGGATCTCCCTTAAACCCCCCTAAACCCTAAAAGCCCCTCAACCCCTCCAATCCAAGGAATGCGGATCTCAGTGTCGAGCCCTAAACCCTAAACCCTTAACCCTATAGACCCTAAACCCTAAACCCTTTAGACCCTAAACCCTAAACCCTAAACCCTAAACTCAAAGGAATGCGGATCTCAGTGTGGAGATGGTCCTGAAGCGCCTCATGGATGAGGCCAAGGGCCTCGTCGGCGCCGAGGTGGCGAGCGCAGCTCGGCGATGAAAGGCAAAAAAAAGGGGTTTTGGGGGTTTGGGGGGTTTTGGGGTTTAAGGGGTTTGGGGTTTGGGGTTTTTGGAGGTTTGGGGCTTTTGGGGTTGTGGGGTTTGGGTTGGGGGTTTGGGGTTTAGGGTTTTTGGGGGTTTGGGGTTTTGGGGGTTTGGAGGTTTAGGGGTTTTGGTGGTTTGGGGTTTTGGGGTTTCGGGTTTTGGGGTTTTGGGATTTTGGGTTTTGGGGTTTTGGGATTTTGGGTTTTGGGGTTTTGGGGTTTAGGTTTGGGGGTTTGGGGTTTTGGGTTCGCCCTGGCGAAGTCGCAGCAGGTCAGTTGCAAAAGGGTTCAGGGTCTACGCTGTTTTGGGTGGTTTTTTCGGTGTGTGCATAGGTTCTTGTGCGAGGTATTCGGGTTTTATATTTTTGTTTGTTCTTTTAAGGTTTTGGTTTGGGGTTGATGGATTTACTCAAGGGGGTCCTGCTTCGCTAAAGCTTATAAACCCTAAACCCTGGATGCTCCCAGTCGCCAAAGAAGCGTTGCTTAATCGGGGTCTAGACGAGATGTTGACGGAATGTACTTCTCCTTGTCAATGTAATCAACAAGTAGTTCAATACAACAATAGTTGCGAGATTCTACATACATATATACACACACGTGCATATGTATACGTAGGTTTTTTATTTGAGGTGTTGTTGTGCTACCCTTTGTGCGTGTCTGCCTCTGATCCTTCTAGATTCTGGTGTTGTGCCGATTCGTGTCTCGATGAATGCCAGAAGCCTCGGTACAACTTTGGTAGTCGTGCACAGCATCGACCTGATATACAGTGTGCATATGTATATTCATATATATATATATATACACATACATGTGTGTGTGTACATGTATATATATAGATATATATATATGTATGTATGTATACATATGTAAATCTCTGTGCATATATATATATATATTAGTCCATATTTCATGTCAACATAAAATCGTATTGTAATTTATTACATATTGTCCTTTTATTGAATTATTGTTATGTTATGTTCTGATATCTTATTCACAATGTATTATAGTGTGTGTGTATATATGTATGTATATACATTCACATACATACATATATATATATTGTAATGTATTATAATGTTGTAGTCAGTTATGTTATGTCATGTTGTATTACATTACATTAAAGCATGTTGTATTTTTTGGGTGTTTTATCACATAAATTACATTGAGCGATTACGGTGTGCCGTTTGAAGTCCGTGTCGGAATTTTGCGACGTCCTTGTGCATGAAAGTTGCATAGATTTCTTGCTCGTTCATTGAGCTCACACGCTAGCTGTTCGAGGATCTCGCGCATTCAGATTCTATGCTGACCCTCAATCCCCAAACTTACCCGAAAATCCGAAGTCTCCAAGCCTAGGCTCTAAACCCCATAAGTAGGCATTGATCCTAACTATTGGAGAAGGAGGAAATCCCACAACAAGGCCAGGCCCGCGAGCCTGAAAGCCCTCGAAGCCTTAAGACCTTCAGACTAAGACTCTAAGGCTAAGGCCCTGTGCAGACCACAAGCCCTAAACCCCCTAAACCCTAAACCTCTAAAGCCCTAGACCCTAAACCTCTAAAGCGCTAAAAACCCAAAAAAACATAAACCCCAAAAGCCCTACACCCTAAACGATCAGGTCTTTCTTGTTGACAGGCAGCATGGGGAGCTGTACTCGACGGATGCTTGTCGGCACTTTGCCCGCCCGGTATGACGGTTCCACACGGATACATGAATGAATGCGTATGTATGTATGTATGTATATATCTACATACACATACATCCGCATAAGTAGATATGCATGTATGTGCGCGTAAGCTCTCTCTACTCGCAAGATAACCTTACAGAATCTCTTCGACTTCACTCAACGGGTCCCAGAATTCTTTCTTTGTCGCGAGCAGGAGACGAGTTACACGGTTTAGGGTTTAGGGTCCTTGTGTTGGTTTCACCCACGGCGAGATTGAATCTCCAGAGTGCCACGGCCGTGCCACCACGAACGTGCCGCAATCGAGGAACCAATTTCGGAGAACGAAATCGGACCCGGCCGGGAAATAGCAGTTAAGAAATTGAGAACCAAGAGCACTACAAAAAAGCCTGTGCGAGCATTCCCGTGAATGCTTGGTCCCGGGACGACATCGAATCTGCGCAGGTCGCCAGCACAGGAAACAGGAGTTGAAAGCTTTCAAAGACATCTGGGCTTAAGGTCGCGGCTGCAGATTTGGGGTTCGGGTGGCAAAACCCGAAACCTCAAACTCCAAGCCAAACCGAAGCTTCTAAGTAAGCCTTCTGTGCCGGATGCTATCCGACCGTGCAGTTGCAGAACATTTCCTTCATGGCTCAGAAGGACTTACGGCGGTAGGGGTTGCCAGGTATTCAAAATGGGGGCTGTCACTCCTGCAACAAGGTTGTCGGAAGCAGTCTTGTTGCTGACCAGAGGCATCCAAATCATAAAACCCGATGCTTTACACTACAAAAACCAAACCTATACAACGAGCTCCCTGCAACCTAAATCAATAAAGACCTTTCTCGATCTTAAGATGCCGCAAAAGACCGTGCCACTGTAAGGGTACTATAGCTGGGTTAGTAAAGGGACAAGTATGTACTGTTGATGTCGCATCACTGGTCCAAGCCAGGTGAATTCCACTGGAAAAGAGATCCGCATTCCCTTCAACTCTGGAGTGGCCGGTAGTGTGGCTTGCTCAGGCGGGAGGCTTACTGCCGGGGATGATTGCCATTGGTCACTCTTCGCATCCTCTCAGCACAGATTACAGGCTGCCTTCCATGTGCTACGATACATCCTACCTTATGCATTTGGATGCACTGGCACTGGGTGGCTTCGCCTAAATTCGCCGTCGTCGTCCCATGCGTCGGAGTCTTCAGGAGTCGTATCCTAAATATCCTTTCACATCCTCCCCCGGAACCCGAAAGCCCGCGGCAAGGGTGAAGTTTTGGTTTAGAGGTTTAAAAATTTGCCGTTTCTTTCATGCCTTCTCCAGCTTGCAGAGCACATCCTTGAGAAAGGTTCGTGATCGGTTTTGCTTGTGTTTTTTGGTTGTGTTTTTTTGCGATATCGAGCTCCGAAAATATAGGCACGCTAAACACGAATCCCGGAAACCCCTTAAGTTCCTCGAAGCATCTATAGGGACCTGCTAGAGAGCCCTCGGCTATCTGCAGGCGAGCCGCTCATCATCATGGATGCCTATGCTGACGCCAGGTTCAACACGGAGATCGATCGAAAGACTGGCGCGAGACCTGGGGAGAAGTTGACTTCAAACCCTAAACCCGGTGTAGGGTTTATATGGGTCTAAGGTATAGGATTCCTAAACTCTAAACCGCTGGGGGAAGCCTGGGAAGCCTAGCAAATGGACCTCCGGATGTCTCATTTCACTCACACGCCTTGGGGCTGCCAAGAGGTAGTTCCTGGCTTGCAGTGCTTGTATTCAAGGGTTCGAAGAGGCTACAGGTGGTTGAAGCAAAGTCGGGAAGCTCCAGCCGCAAGCTTACAACCTACTCCCCATAACCCTAAACCCTAAAACCCCACACCCTACTCCCCACAACCCTAAACCCTTCTCCCTATAGATTATGGTATTCTGTTTGCCGGAAGAGAGTCGAAGTAAGCCTCGTGGCTTGGTGGAGTTGGGTTTTTTCCGCCGGCCAGAAGAGATGTAGGCAACTGTGCAGGCACATGGGTAATTCTCTAAACTAGGGTCCCTTGTTAGGTCCCCAGGCACCCCTAAAAAAAGGACCATAGAGGTTGTTCAGTAGGACTCTGGTCCGAATGCAAATCCCAGTCCTACTCCCTCAACCCTAGAAAAAAGTTTGAATGACCCCCGGACACTTTAATGAAGCCTTACACCCCCCTGTCTGCAACATGCCCGCATCCACCAGCTGTTGTTGTTTTGCCACCTGCGCGCAGGTTTCCAGACGCGAAATATTCTTTGCGTCCCAATACGCGCTCCTTGGTCCGCTGATCGTGGTTCTTTTCTTCCACAACGGTGCCACTACAAGGGCACTACAGGAGACTGAAGTACATGGTAGAATACTGGCTTTGTAATTATCGGTGCCTGGAGACCGCCAGTTCGGAATGCTTGCACATCTCCCCTGTCGGCAGGCATCGTAGATGCAATATGATTGAAGAGCGACTTTAGGCTCTTTGACCCAAGACTTGAGAGGGAATAATCCAGGGGAGGATGCCCAAGTCAGGAGCCAGAGAGCAGTGAAGTTGCTTTTCTTGCATTGTGATTAGGATTTAACTGGGTGTGGGATGTGGGGGTGGGGGTGGGGTGCGGGGCCGAGGCTTTTAAGGCCGGCATAATCGGGGTGGCCCAGCTGATCAACAAGACCGCTGGTGGCGTCCTCTCCCGCGAAGGACTGGTGCTTTGTCAGTCCTCAAAACATGGGCCGCCCTGTGAACCCAGAGAGCCCAATACCCCTTAATTAAGGAATATACCTTAAATCATATAATATTGAGGCCCCTATAATTTAAGGTATATTCCTTAATTAAGGGGTACTAGGCCGCCCTGTGAAGCCCACAGCCAGGAGAAGCTGCGCGTGCTGCCCCACGCCTTGCTTTCACACAGGATGACCAGCTTTTCTTCGAGGTCTTCGCTTCGCAGGCGGGAGCGTCTGAAGACACTGCAGACATCAGAGTGGTAGCAGCAAAGGCAATTTCCCAACTTCGATATCAAGTCGGTGCCGTTTCTCGAAGTTTCATGAATTTTCAAAGATGGTATGGCAAGTCCTCACTAGGCATGTTACACTTTCATGGAAGATCTTTCCCCAACAGCTCCACCCCTCCTGGCAGGCCGGTACGGCCATTATCACCAGTGGCGTTTCTGAAGAGATGCCAGTGCCAACCAGAGCCTCGTCTTACACTATTCATAGGCCCCTAAGTATTTTTTATCTAAACCACAAAAGGATGGGATTACCTTGTAGCATTCTAAACCTAAACCACAAAAAGGAACTACTTAGGGGCCCCTATGGGTATGAGGGTTTTCCTTCATCTCTGGAGTCGAATAGAAACCCCTTGATGCTATTGCCTGCTGAGGTCCGACGCAACAAGAAGGTACCTCTTCAGAGGTCCTGACCCCGACAGGGCTTTAAAGGGGGAGTAGATACACTAAACCCTAAACCCTAAAGGGTCCTGAGTCCTAATTAAGTCCCGACAGGGCTTTTAAGGGGCGGGGGGGGAGGGGGGGTTAGATTCACTAAGCCCGAAACCCTTGTAAAGGGTCCCAATATTTACAGCCCATAAGCGCCCGGCTTACGCAGAGTTCCGGCTTGGAGGAGTTGTGGGCCTCTGGCTTGATGGCTTGGGGGGCTTATAGGGTTTATAGGGCTTCTGAGCCCTAAACCCCCTAAGCCCTAGACCCTGCGGTGTACCGAAACCCGTGGTTTTGGGGCGGGCACCCAGCTGTCCAAGCCCTCACGCTCAAATGCCCACTGCCTAGCAGGGTTTACCTACAGATAATAATTAGAAATTAGGGCCTTTGGGGTATATTATAGCTACATTGAGGAACCGGATCCTATCGGATAATATTAATATTATGCAAAAGGAACTCAACTGCATGCAGGTAGGGTAGGATTCCACTTATTCTACTCGGGTGGGACATGCGTGGGAGCGTGGCTGGAAGACGAGGCGCACACAAACTTACGGAATGCTCACTGCACTACAGCGACTTGGGAAATGCAAGAAACCATTTTCCAGGACGATTAGAGCGGTGGGATCTGAGCCGCAAGGTAACGGAATAGTGGAGCCACAACGAGCACGAGAGACTTGTCACAGGAGCACGAATTCCAACGATCTCCATTCTAAAAGACGAACCACAAAATATGCAAGGTACTTTCGCGACAGCGAATGTCAGCAAATACGACAGTGCCATAGTAGTGCGTTGCAACAAGGGTTTTGTCACACTACAGCGGGAGCCCTGGAACCACAGGCATTGGCTCCAACGCAAGAACCCACAGCGTGCTACCCCACTGGTTGGCGAACCAAAGGCTAAAGGTTATACAACCCTACAAGTTTGACATGTTCCTTCTTTAGCTCATAGGGTCCCCAGGAAAATACTGTGCACATGTCCGTAGGAGGTTGCTTTGGCAAGGATCCCGGATCGAAATTTTGTTCAGAATAGACACTTTTCTTCTTTCTGCGCTTCCTAATAACCCTATGTACATTCGAAACCCGTGCCGGGTAGGATCCTTCTTATGACAACCCCCAGTTCAGTAGGCCTTGATGGGAGTGTACACAAAAAAAGACCCCCCCCCCCTATATGGACCGCGGGCTCTAGGATTTTAGGATCTTTATGTATGCCCAGGACCCCAAGGAAGGGAGTTGTCTCCCTTACATGCCTCTTCGTATTTTCGGAAGCCCACCCACCGTGGCCCGATGGAGAGTCTTCCTTGGAGGAGCCTCTGTCTGCGCAATCGTCCATGAAGCAAATGGCTGTAGAAGCCGTGCACGTGGCAGCGTGGCAGCAGCATTGGACTTGGACTTTGGGGCTGTATCTTAGCTTTGCGGTGATATGTGGTTCGTGAGCTTAGGCCCTATAAAAACAAAAGAGTGAATCAGTTAATCATAATTTAGATAAGAATAATAATTTTCATACTAATACGGTTTTTGTTACAAGGCAAGATTTCCTGAGGAGTTCATTCCGTTTGACAGGTTCGTCCGTAGGTGGTCTACGACTCTGGCTGCAGGTTCTGTTCTTAGTTTTTAAATTTGGGTGTGGCGTTTAGGGTTTGGGTTTGGGCTGTAGCGTTTGGTGCAGTCAAGACAAGGATGCAAAGAATGTGTGTGGGGTTAGGGCAGGGCTAGAGGGTAGTGAAGCTCCTTCTTTCCGAATCTTAAGCCCGCTGGATACCTACTCCCCACACTGTAAATCCCTAAACCCCACCTAAACCCTACGTAAGCCTTAAACTAACCCCTCTCCCGACATCACACTGCGAAAGAGCACCAAGCCTTAGATCGTCTGCAGAGGATCCGACTGAGGAGTTGGAGGAGCGGGGTGGAACGGGCAAAGGTCCTGACATTTATGGGTCTCTGTCTCTGGGTTTCCTACACCCTACCCTATAATCGTCGTGGTGTGTCTTGTTGGCTTAGCACCTTTTTCACATCATATTCTTTCACCAAAGCAAGGAATATCTCTGGAGACTACAGGCAGACCCTAAATTCCCAAAGTCAAAGGTATCTAAAGTTTGTAGTAGAGTCCGGTAGCTTCTGAAAATGGGAGGTGCCGAAGGCTCAGACACGCGTTCTTCGGCATCGATCTCTGACATTACACAATAACCCACAAGCTCATATGAATCCCGTGATGTCCTATAAAATCTCATTGAACCCGGCATCCTCACACCGGCAATGCTTAGATCGATTACGGCTAAGAGCCTGGCTTCGCTCTGAAGCAGCGGCCCAATGGCCCTAAATTTAGGGTTTTTAGGGCTTAAGTCTTTTAGGGTTTTTTCTGGTTTTTAGGGCTTTTAGGGTTTAGGGTGTAAAGGGCTTTTTGGGTTTCGGGTTTTTAGGGCTTTAAGGGCTTTTTGGGTTTCGGGTTTAGGGTTTTTAGGGTTTAGGGTTTGTAGGGTTTGGTTTTTTCGGGTTTAGGGTGTTTTAGGGTTTAGGGTTTTAAGGGCTTTTTTGGGTTTCGGGTTTTTAGTTTATAGGGTTTGGGTTGTTTCGAGTTTTTGGTGGTTTTCAGGGATTAGGCTTTTAGTGCTTCTAGGGCTAGGGTTTTTAGGGTTTTAGGGTTGAGGGTTTAGAGGGTCTACTAAACCTAAGCCTAAACTCCTAAACCAGCCTAAGCCCTCATAAACACAGGGCTTATAGGTTGTCAGAAGCCTACATGTCACAGCAAACAAGCCCTGAAATTGAATGCTTGGGGTTCAGGGCCACAGTCTAGTAAGCCTACATCCGAAACCCTAGGGTTTAGGGTTTAGGGTTTGGCTCTATTAAAAAAGCCTACACCCTGAGCTGGAAGGAGAAGATGCTGCTGTTGCAGCCAGTGTTAGATGCGGCAATGGAGACTCGGCTTTGGAGTACCACACTTTGCAACTTTTTTTGGGGGGTATCCGCTCCGTGAAGCTACTTTTTTGCGGGACCTGTTCCTTGAAGCTACTTTGTTTGGGGGACCTGTTCCTTGAAGGGGCCATCATGAAACGAAAGTTTGCACTTTTATGGTCTCCCCGGTTACTTCAAATCCCAGGAGAGCTGGAGTGCAGACACCCTGACGCTCTCCGAGCTCACAAGGCGCAGCGCCAAGATCTCGTGGACTGCTTATGAACACGGTTTAGGGTTTAGGATTATGGTTTACCAAGATCCACATATTATCCGACTCTTGTAAGGCCGTGTATACGGAAATCGCATCAACAACCCTCGAACATGTAGATTGTTCTTGTGGTTTTGGCGTATTTTTGGAATTGTGAACATCGCATGTCGGCCTGCCGGCAAGCCGGGAGCTAAGTCCGGCTTGCTGAGGGGTCGTAGGGTTTACTGCCCAACACGTTCAGAGGAGTGTTGCTATTCCGTACACTGCACATATTGCCGAGGCGTGGACAATAGTAGAAGAGGTCACGCGGTTCGGATTCGGGGTTTAGTTGGAGGGGTCACCTGAGCTGGTGATAGATGTAGGTGTGTTCGGTTTGATGCTCCGTGTGCTAAACCCTAAACCCCTAAACCCCAAGCCCTAAACCCAAAATTGCCAGGGGCAGGCCACTCTATGTCATGAGTCTCTCCGTGATTCGGCATTTGGGCCTCATCCAGGCTTTCGGCATCCTGGTCGCAATTGTGGTTTCCATCTCTAGCTGGCCTTGTGTACGCAGGGTTTAGGTTCTAGGAACTTCTACCTGTTTCACTGGACTTATCCTTGTGTCCTTGTTCCTACCACGGCCGTTCCGTTGTTATCTTTCTCCTCTCCGTAAGGTCTCTCTCGACAGCCGGGGAGACGAAGTCTAGTTTTTGCGGCCTAGTCTTGGTTCCCTAGACTCCTAAACCATCGCATCGGCGGAAGATTCCTGGATTCGATCCTTTCCAGCTCGGGCGATCATCTAGGTTATCACCACCATCGCTGTCATCTTCATGTGCGACCATTGCCATCACAGTTATCCTCCTATAGCTCCAATATTTTAAGAGTTCATCGCCTGGTATTTTGTACGAGTTGACGAGCCGGGGCTAATGGCCGTCGACTTTGTAGCAACCCATATGCCCGTCAGTAGTTTCTATTCTTCCTATAGCTGTTGGAGATTATTAGAGTTGTGATGAAGTGTGCATTCTGCATCCGTGCTAAACACCCCATTGAAGTGTAATCGCTAATGTGCACTCCCCAGAATCTCCCGGGGAGTTGGCAAGAGTGAGTCTCTGGTGATGTAGTTTTTAGGCTACTTGCAACGGTTCATACAAGGTATCTTCGAATGTTAGACCGAGGCTACACCGGTTCAGGCTCCGGGTCAGAGTTGAAGCATTTATTCATTTAAAACGAAGAAGTAGCATCCTGTCGGTGGGCAATCACTCTATGGCTAGGAAGGTCACAGAAAGGGTGCTATGGTTTAGGGTCCGGTAGCTCTGGGTCTTTGCATTGTTGTCTTCGAATCCGAAGCAAAACATGTGATAGACTGAGGTTTGGACGAGACCAAGCTGAAGCGGTTCCTCATTGAGGTGGAGAACGGCTACCCGCAAAGTAATCGCTATCACAATTCTGCATCTTTGTCGCATCCTTGTGGGCAGGAAGCAGGCCTGGTTTGGCAGCTGACATCCTGCGGCTGTTGCTTCGCACGCTGTAGTGTAAACCACAACAGAGGCTTACGCAGGTGGTTTCTACCAAGTCCTACAAGTCTTAGCTTACATTGAGAGAGTTTAAGCATTATGGTTTGTAGCATGCTGTGTTGCGAGATGCACCTGCACATGCTGACGTAGCAAGCTGTTCGACCTACATGCTCAAACATATCAACCTCATAACGCTCATAGTACATCTCTGCAGCACCATATTGAAGATTACGGATAACACGAGCTTAGGGTTTAGGGTTTCAGAGCTTCTCGCTTGACTTGTGGATGCATAGTTAGTCGATTGCTTCGGGTTTAGGGTGTTGGACAGGTTTTGGGATCAAAGGGTTGTGCTGCACTGCCGGCTCAGTATCAGCACTGTGCGATGTATGAAGTCACGATCGCTGTGTTCAAATCCAGTGTTGCTTGTTTTGCTGTCTAGCGGTCTAGTTATTTTTGCCTTCCACTCCAGTTCCTTCGCTCTGTTCTCAACCATGCATGTGCCGCGACTTCTTCGGTAAGAAACATGTACTGATATTCGTACATTACCACGGCACGGCTGGTAGGTACTATCATTGCGCTGCCAAGCCGTCCTAAGCACAATAAATGATCCGGACAACAACCGAAACAACAACAGAAAGCAATGTGAATAAACTATAACTATTGGCGGCCGAGGCCCACGCAGCATCCGTGGTGCACTTTATGTATGCGCTCCTCGTGCACGGTGGCGTGGCTTCCCAGTGCACCAAGGCTGCGCAGAAGGTGCAGGAGACGGCGCCTTCTCGTTTACTTGAAGGTCCAGAGCAGTTGCAAGCAGTTTGCCGGCTTGGCCTCGTCTGTGCGGGAGCCGAGAGTTACAGAGTGTACCGAGTGTACCTGTCAAGTGATACCATGACTACCTAGAGATTACCTAGAGCCTCCATTTACCCTCTATTGTAGAACCTACAGGCCCAGAGTAGGCTCACAAAGAGCGCCCTAAACCCTAAACCCCTCAACCCTCTAGAGGTGTGGGCCTAGCCACACCTCCTAGCAGACTATCCGAGCTCAGCTTTCAGGGCTTTTGTTACACTCCTTTGTCTTCGGCGGCTGTGCATGGTAAGCGAAGGGGATGTATGGAAGTCTAGTATTTGTAGTAAAATGCTGTAGTCCCTCAGTTAGTGTTACAGTCGTAGTAGAATATACACCCACAAGCCTTGTTCTAACCATTAAGGCATTAAGGCCCTTGTAGTAAATCTGACCTGAACCTCAAGCCCTACCTTCCCAGCCTCTTTCCGGTTCGATATTTCTTACCAGGAGGATATGCAGGTCAAGTTCGTTCAGCTGGCAGGCGACCGTCTCCATCATGAGAGTGTCGCGGTTCCGGGGGCTTAGGGCCCATAAATTTCATAAACCCATTTAAAAAATTCATGGGCAGTTGTTCGGCATTCACTGCTTACAGGTTAGGTGTGGGATCCAGGCCTTGTTTTTGAGGAGTTGAGTCTTCCAGGCCACGAAGGCGTCATTGTAGGAAGTCTTATACTAAGTCTTCTACTACAAACCCCTGCCTATCGCTTTTGGAGTCCAGTTTAGGAGCCCTCATAGCACCCCCCCTTCTATGACCCTTACCAGATCCCTCTTGGAGCCCTTCTTAGGAACTCTGATAGAACTGGACAAGCTCCGAAAGATTTGAAGATCACGGCCTTCATCCATAAAAACACCCTACATCCAACATGTTAGGGACCTTGGTTATTAGAGTTTACGGTTTATGTTTTTGAGGCTTCGGAGCTGCAGGGGTTCACTGAATTCTATTCTAGATCCAATTGGTGTTTATTTTTTGTTGCCTGGGGGCTCCTTTTCTTCTGAACTCGGCGTTTTGAAGCTACATACGGAGAGTCGAGATATTTGGAAAGTCACTGAGGCGCAAATGCAGCTGCTGCTTACAGGATCCTGCATTCTGACATTTAGTTTTTATGCCGTAATGAAGCTGCAGCATCCGAAGCCCAAACCCACAAACCTGAACCTGGTACCCAACCCCCTTCGGCCTGCAACCCCCAGAACTCATTAGGCGGCAATGTTCGTCGAAGCCACTCTCAGATCGAGAGATCCCAATTGAGCCGCACTCTCGTCGTTGGTATATTATAGTATCCGTGATGAATGTCTTGACGCGTGATGTGGGCGCTACTAGGCAGAACGTCGTACTGATCCTATGGTCATTGGCACAACCGTAGCTAATAGGCGATGTAGGGAAAGTTGCAGAAACAGAGATGGGAGGACGAGGGGAAGAGCGAGTGCAAGCGTCAAGGAACGAGCGGCCGTCCCGAATGTAGACGGCAGGTCGCAGGCTCGAAAGGGACCCTAGCAGTAAGCAGTTTCCAAAGCCTAAACCCTAAACCCTTTCCTAAACCGGGTAGTCTTACCGAAGGCATTCTTGCAGCTCTTTGCCACGACTTCGAGCATGAAGGGGTCACGAACGACTTCCACAACAAGACGTACCTGTGATGCAACGTAGGGTTTAGGGTTAAGGGTTTGGGCTTTCGGAAATTATTGGTCAAGGGCGTAGGGAGATCAGGCTTAGGAATCTTGGGGCCTAGGGGAAATTATGGCCTGGGTTTAGGGTTTAGGGTTTAGGGCAGTGAGCAAGTGATGCTGGGGACCGGGCTGCTGTGTACGAGGCCTGCTGTAAAAAGGGTTTAGGGCAGGACCGTAGGTTTGCCCGATGGGATTGTTTTTTGGGATCCCGTACTGTACCTGCTGCTGCGGGAGCGCTCTGACTGGACAAAGGACCCAGCATTAGAGCAAGGCCTGGCAAACCCGCTGAACCCGAATTGGTCTTAGTATGCTGTTGTTGAATTTAAAGTATATTCCTTAAGTATATGGGATATTATTGGGGTCTCTGGATAGGAGTTTAGGGACGATACTGGTGAGAATTTTCTTGGCTCTTTGCTAGCCCGAGATCGCAGGCCCTGGTCTAACTAAGGACCCCAAGTATCACAGCGTTCTGGGCCGGAGTGCCGCAATGAGTGTAGTAAACATACTATCTTGGGGATTACTTGGGCCCCCCTTATCCCTAAACCCCTGGAGATATCCTGGTTGCAACGAAAGGTTGACAGAGCGGTCTGTGACATACAACAACAGGCGCGGGTGTCGAGTTTACAGTTTAGGGCTCAAGACCTGACACCCTGAACCCTAAGAAGTAAACCCTCATCCCTAAACTCTAAATCTCAAGAAGTACCTGTAGTTGTTTTGTCTGGGGTGTCGGGCGTCTTGGGGAATGCTGCAACCACTCCGGGAAGTACTGATGCTGCCGTCGTCCACGATGATGCGAACCCGTCCATCACTACCGGAGTGAGTGGACAAAAGGTTTCTGTTTTGGAGTAATTGCATAATTGCCCTAGCTTTTACGTGTGCACCCACTAAAGGGCAGGGAGCTTGCCTGCGAAAGTCCCCCCAATACATCCGTAAAAAAAGCCATAAGCCCCAAACCCGTGACTTTTACCTTTTGAGGGGAGCTTTGTGCTTGAACTTGGCACTTCATAATATAGGGTTTTGAGAAAGGGTGTTGCGCAGATTTTGTGTGGTTTAGAAGGTTTTTACACGGTTTAGGATATCAAGATTCGGGTCAGGGGCGAATGCGACATCAATTCCCGGTTTATTTGCAATTTTGTCGTGCTGTATCGCCAAGAAATCTTGTGGGTCTGGTGGCTCTTATCTTCTCACAGATCTAGTGAGTGCCGATTGGAGCGTGGGCCATGGTCACAGCTATCACTTCCTAAACTCATAAACCCTAGTGCCGAGACCGTTTAGTCTCAACCCAGAGTTTCAGCTGAGAGCATTTGGCTTTTCCGTCTTTACAAGTGGGAACCCTAAATAAGGTGGGACCTGGGCTTCGTTGCAGGGTTTAGGAGTGCGGGCTGGGCAGCGAGTAGACTTTGCCACAGCAGGAGCGTGAACGAGCAGCACCACATTGCAGCGGCTTTCCGCGTCCTGATGAAGTCTGTGCCTGGAACTGTGAATCTTGAACCCTACACGCCACACCCTAAACTCGGAAAAGCAGTGCGTCGGACACGCTTTGGGAATGTGGTGTTCGCCTGATAGACATTGCCTTGAAGCGCACCTCTTGGTCGCTAGACGAACTGCAGGAAATCCGCATACCCAAGACCAGCACTCGCTACTGTGGGAGCCTGAAACAGCCTTTTAGGGGGTTCCTTGTTATATATAGTGAAAAGAAGTATAACCTACCCCGAAACTCTATTCTAAGTAGTAAGGCTCTGCCAAGGCCCTGAACTGTAGAATGTAGTGCAAGGAGCCATGTAGCCTGAAGAAGGCAGTTTGCACAACCGTGCATCAGGTTGGATTTTGGGACGTGTTACGTCGTTGCGCGTGTCAGTTTTTTTTCCAAGTTTCACGCCAGTCCATATCTGACCCTGAACCCTAAACCCTAAACCCTGAACCCTGAACCCTAAACCCTAAACCCTAAACCCTGAACCCTGAACCCTGAACCCTAAACCCTAAACCCTCAACTCCGCCTCGGCTTTTATTTTCATAATTTACCTGGGGTCTCCCGCACCACAGATCCCAATTCCTGAGCTGCAGCCACTCATTGTTGTGGTGTTCCTGCCCATCCCCCTTCATGTGGTCCTATATGTATATGAGTAGGCCTTGATGTCCGCAACTAGGCATTCTTGTATGCGCAGGACGCCTGTCAAGGAAAGCAGAGGAACCCTTCAGCAGGCTTTATTCTACCTACGGAGTGTCTTGTATCCGAGCTTTCTCTGCCGTCTAGTTTTGCCCGCCCTAAACCCTAAACCCTCCGACTACTGACCACAGGCCTCACCTGCATCGTCCGAGGGTGAGAGCCGAAGCCCTCAACCCTAAGCCCGACCTGGACCCTAAAGAGCCTACTTTTTGTTAGGGCTCCTTATTATAATTTCTTTATATAAGTCCTTAAGACCCCACAGAACCTACCTTTTTAAGGGCTCCTTATTATAATTTCTTTATATAAGTCCTTAAAATGGCAGGCTCTTGGGGGTTCAGGTAAGCCCTAAAGCTTCTGCTTCGGGGAGCCCTTGGCTTGTAAGATTAGGGTTAAGGTATAGGTCGTCGGATGACGACGCGGATGGAGGATGGGTGTAGGGTTATAGGGTTTAGGGTGTCGGGTAGGGAGTTGGAGATGCATTATGCTAGAACTGAGGACATGAACTTTCTGTCGGGGATGAGCAGCGACCAATTCCAGAATTTGAGGCCATGCACCAGCGCGAATGTTCAGTGACATTTTGTAGGGTTGACACAAGACGAAACCTATGTGAGTTTACATGTTCCCTTGTTGGCGTGACTTGATGATCCAAGAGTCGGTGTAATCGATATTTGGAAGCTAGGGGGGGTGAATGGGGGGTTTTGGTGTTGACGGAGTTAGGGTGTGGTTCAAAGGGCTACGGCAGAGGCTTGCATAGCAGGTTGAGTTTGCAGCTTGCGCAATGGGCTGAGGGTATTGCGGGTTTTTGTGTTCAGCCGGGGACTGCCGGCAAAGTGAAACTGCAAGAGCTCATTTTCGGCGAGTTCACGACGACCGGCTTGGATCGAAGACAAAACTCTAAACCTTAAGCCCGAAACCAAAGAGCACCAGCAGAAGCAGCAGGAGTAGTATGTTCAGCCTCTCGGTCTGAAAGAGCTGAAAACTTCCAACTAGTACCATAGCAGTGGCAAAAGTAGCCAGGAAAGTCCGGGTCGTCACATTGTAGCTTTAACACTGGCAGACACTGGCGGCGGCAACAAATAGCCGCATTTCTCATGCAAAACAAAACGGTTCCATTTGTGTATACACCGCATGGTTACTGGACAGCTCGTGTTACCAAAAGCCGGATAGGTTGCCAATTGATAGTCCGAACAACTGCAAAATAATCCTATCGTGCATCCTAAACCCTAAGCCCTAGCACTAAAACCCCTAACCCCAGAACCCATGGTCTCTGTGGACAGATCGCCTATAGAGCCCTGAATCCTAGGGCCTGCAACCCGGGCATCGTCCTGACAACCCCAAATCCTCCGGGAGCTGGTGAATCGGCTTTGCAGAAATATGGTTTAGAACAGCCATGCTGCGCACAGGCTAGTCTTAGTCCTGCCTGCACGAGCCCTAAGATTGCGATGTGCCCGAGGTCGCTCATTGTAGAGATGGTCCTGGCGACAGACATGGACTTGGCCTTAGTTGATTGATGTTGTAGCAGGGAGCCTAAAGCCTAACCCCAAAGTCTCAACCCCAATTCTGAAGGTCCCATAAAAAGGAAAACCAAAGGGATGCTAGGCCAACCATGAAACCTGAATGCATTAAACCCTAACCCATGATCCCTCGTTGGGGCACCTACAACTGTTAGTCTCGCTAAAGAGATGAGCCCTCCAGAAGATGGTTGGGCCTAAACTGTCAGTTCCCCTGCTCGGGCCGAAAAAGTGCACCTTAACATAAACTGTTTAAAGCTACCCCCTATGCAGGGATAATGATTACCGTAATTGTATTTTCCGCGTAGGTTCCTGTTTGGGTTTCTATTAAATGGTCGGTTACCATTACATCTGGACCATAGAACCCTAGTAGAAGCCTATTCTTTTGCTGGGGTTCCCTGATACCCTAAACCCCAAAACCCTGAACCATCCTAATCCCTTTTTTAGGTCCCTGGGCTTCTCTAGGCCAGGGTTCTGCTTCCGCTGTTCTGCGTGCATGGAATGGCCGCCCAGATTGATAGATGTGTCAAAGAGGCCAGGATTGTGGCAACCGAAGACATGTGTACAATCAGCGTCAAAGGGCGACTGCAATGGAAAACATGGTACATATCCCTTGCAGCCAACATGCGAACAAAGAGAGTGCCAGATGTCTGTGTCATGAGGCCAGTCAGGCTCCCGCCTGGTTGTCCGTAGTCACACTTTGTTCAATGTTTCACACAGCCCCTCCCCCACCACACCCATCCCCACCCCACCCCCTCCAGTATGGCCCCACTGGATTTCGGAAAATTAACTGGTGCCGATAGCAAATCGGTGTGAGGCAACCGTTTTTCACAGTGCAAAGAACGGCTGCGGCAAGTGGCTTTGTATCCATCAGACCCTGCAGCCTAAATCCTTAGCCCCGAGCCCCCGGGCAGGAGTCAGGAGTTTGGCCCCAAACTGATCTTTGAGGTGAACATGAGCCCGAAGATTTCCAGCAGTGGGATGTTCGGATGTAGCAGAAGAGAGTGCGCTGACTGTTGCGCTTCAGAACTTAATAGGTCCGTGATTCAATTATCCTTATGTCACACGCATCCTTTTGTCTGGGGTTTGCATTACGGCCCCTTTAGTTCTCAAGCTCCCACTTGAAGGCCCATTGGTAGTTTCAAGTAGGCTCGTGATCGAGTTCCGGCTGCAGCTGTTTGTAGCTATGGCTCCGAAATGTTCCGCACAAATACCGACACCCACAGGTACAAAAAGAGGGAGCGAGAGAGAGCGCGACAGAGACAGAGTAAACCCCTAAACCCTAAACCCCAAAGCCCTAGACCCTAACCCCCCAACCAACCTCGCAGTTTCGATTTTCCCTTTTTTTTGGGGGGCGGCCGAGGCCTTGAACAACGAGCTCCTGGCCATTTTCGCACAGAGTGTCCAGGCCACTGGAAAATCCCGGAATGGCTGAAGCTTGAAACTTCTAAACGCTTAGCCACAACACATATACTCAGGACAGTAGTATTGCAGTACACATTTAGAATCACCGATGCAATGATGATGAAGTAACAGAGTTTGGAATCATCATGGTAAGATTACGAACCATAGTTCTTGTCAGGACATTTTGGCGCTTGCCACACGCCACAAAGCTACTGCGGAGGGAACCAGCAAAAAGAAGCAAGATGGGGTCGGGCCGCGGGGCCCTGCATCTCTCTTCGCATATAAAATCGTGAAGGGTCGTGAAGTAACCCCAAACTCCAAACAGAAAAGAAAGCGACCTAGACAAACGGAGCTTCGGGCTTCGCAGCTCTGGGCTGCATGCCGGTGCATGTCTGGCCAGGGCTCAGCCGCTGAATCTCGGGGTCTTGGTTATCAAGGGTTTTGGGTTTAAGGGTTAGAGTAGCGCTGGCCGGCACATCAGTCCGTGCTGAAAAGGGATTAGACTAGGGGCTAGGGCGGTATATCGTATTGCAGCCACAAATGGGCTGTAAGGGAATACGTTTATTTAAGAAATGTTCAGACTTCAGAACTTCAAACCCTGATAATATCTTGAAGGTATGCAAGCAATCAGTACGAGCATCGGGAAAAGCAGCGTTCAGCGACCATGACTTTCTTATACGTAAGGTGCTATAGGCAAGATTGGCCTTAGTCTGATCCTTGTAATATAGTGGCCTAAATAATAAATAATTACCAGGACTATTTTGGGGTTGCCTTGTTACACGTGTAGTATAAAAAAACCCAACTCCAATTATGATAAGACCCTGTATTAGGAGCCTGTCGACGCCGCAAGGCAGGTTGCGGCAGTTCAGGCTAAGTTAACTCTGACCCAGAGAGCCCAATACCCCTAAATTAAGGAATATACCCTTACAATATTAAGGCCCCTATTTTTTAAAGGTCTATTCCTTAGTTAAGGCTCAGTTAAGGGGTATGCGGCTCTCTGGGGAACCCTGCCACAACTCGAGGCGTTGGGTGCTGAAGGTTTCTCACCTTCCACGGCTGAGGAAGCCTCTTTGGTGCCTCGGAAGAGTTGCTTTAGCGTTTAGAGTTCAGGGTTCAGGGTTGAGGGGTTTAGGGGTGTTTAGGGTTTAGGGGTTTATAGGTTTTAGGAATTGACCCTAACCCTCCAGGTGCCTACTATAAAGGGCCCTACAGGCTCTAGTACCCTGTATAGTAGGTACCTGGGGGGGGGGGGGGTTAGGTGAACTCGGAGAATGCATTTTGCCCAGCAGCTGCAGTCGCTAATCTTTCCTGCGCACAGCTTTCACCAAATTTGAGCCGAGCCGGAGAAGACCAGCCGGCAGGTGCTGAAGTTTGCTCTCAAATGCGCAGACGTTGGCCACTTGGCGCTGGACTGGCCTGGACACTTGCGATGGGTACAGCGGCTGGAAGAGGACGGACGGACCAGAGGTGAAAAGGCATGAGCTTACCCGGAGACTCTACAAACAAGACAGCTTTCATGGTCCCGACCTTCTCTAATTATAGGTCAGACAACGTGTACTGCCGCTCTCTCTGTCTCTCTCTCTCTCTCTCTCTCTCTCTCTCTCTCTCTCTCTCTCTCTCGCTCTCGGTCACCATGTTATCCCTAAGCCCTAAACCCTTAACCCCTCAATCTTACTTGGTGCTGATGGCTGGACCTAAACCAACCCTCAGCCCTAAACCCCCAGTATTTTCGAGGACTTAGAACTCCCCTTCCGAAGCCCCCGGCTCCCACTCCGAAACTTCGGGAAAGAGGCTTTGGGTTTGGGCTTCGGTCTGTTGCCTGACCACGTGGACCTTCAGCTCCCTCGAAGGGTTTCGATTTGGCAGCCTACGGAAGCTAGACCGTACAGGAGTTTGCAGAACTCACCTGCAAGAGGTGTCATCGTGGCTTATACATGTTTACATCATTCCTTTGTTGTCCCACTCTACGGGTCCTAAAGTGAATCCCTGTCATCCCCTGTTCACAGAGAAGCAACAGGATCTGGCGATGCTGAGGCGTCAGACACTGCGTATCAGTGCGTATCCGGTTCTACAGTAGCTTGCCTTCTGGCAGATTGGCCAGGGCAGCACAAGCACAGCCTTCTCTCCTTGGTTCTTAGTAGGGAATGGGGGAATGGATCCCCTATGATAGTCCCTTGTAGTGGTCCCAGTCTAGTCCCGATGACCCATCTACGGAGTTATGTTTGCCCGGCAAGGCCGCCACGCACAAAACCCCGTGGTACCTTCAACGATCCCTCCACCCTGATTCCTGTGCCAGGAGTTCTTTCTGCAAGGTGATCGTGAAAAGGGCTTGAAATTAGATCCTGGCTTTCTGATGGACCGGGACAAGAGCCTTGCCAGCAGCTTCTGCAATTTTCTGGGCAAGTCAGGGTGTTCTAAACATTCAGTTTTTGTGTTCCGCCACCGCGAAACACGAAGCTTGCCACAAGCCGCAGGTTCAATGAACCTCCTGGCAGGATCGTTTGCCCAACAGATAGCTACTGCTAAGCCAGCCACAGACAATTGGCTCGATTGATTCAGTTGTGTGATTTGTTCTGTTATGCTTTTTTGGAGGAGAGTCCCTCCAGGTACGTCTACGGCTTGGGTTCATCTTGTGTTGGTAAGGCTGGCAGATGGCAATCTACAGTGTCATGTGCACGCCGGTTGCTTGTGAGGTAGATATGATTTAAACGGTCGCCCAGCAGCTCGCATTGCTTTCCCATCTCTGTTGATGCTTAGCTTGCAAGGTTCTTCGCTCAATGCTTAGGGACTACTTTGACATTGGTCGGGTAAAGCACACACGAAAACAGACCCGATGCCTACCTGCATCTGAGAGCCTTAAGCGGATTCGAGCATGATCTGCCATGTGAAGCTCCATGATGTGGCATACGACTGATGGGTCATAATTGGTAGTGATTTAGGAGGTTGATTAATGCTGATGTAATTCCCCCAGGAGCACAGTACAGGAATATGCTCGTTTGGTTGCTGTAGGCAAAAACCGCCAAAGACGTTAGCTGTTGCTTTCAACCTCTCATATGAAGTTTGCAGGGATATACTTGGATAAGATGTGCAAAACAGGCTGACAGCTCATGCAGTTGAACTGCCAACATCCAGACGGCCGGAGCCCAGTAGTTGACCTCCGAGTCCCTTAATAAGTATACGACTAAAGACTCAAGCCGCGAAACCTCGGGCTCTCTAGGCACCCGTTAATTCTGGAGAATATATGACCCTAAGCCTTCGTTTGGGGCAGCCCCTATGGACTACCCAGATATTCAGGCCCGGTGTGTCGCAAACTCAAGATGCCTGGCTGGATCAGCGAGGGCATCGAGGGAGTGTGGAGGAAGCCTAGCCTAGCCTTCAGCCTTTCCTGCATATGGCTTCGTAGGGTTTGGGATTTAAGGTGTAGGGCTTAGGGTTTAGGGTTTAGGGCTTTAGGGTTTAGGATCATAAGGGCCATAACAGTTCACCAGCATAGTCGTAGCTAGTTCTGAATGTCTTGCGCACAGGCCACTTGCTTCCACAAGAGCAAGGGCTATGGATCTATGTTTAGCATGACTTCCCCCTGTGTGCTTCAACCTAGTCTCCAAACCTTATTGCCAAGTAGTCCCGAGGTGAGCGGGTGTGCTTGGAGGTTAAATGTTCGGAAAGTGTAGGTTGACAGAACAAGTGGCCTGCTTGTCAAGATGGAACTTGGCTGTTGGCCATCACATCCAGAACTCCGCAAAACCCATAGCCCCAAAGCCTACCATAAACTGCGACAGCTTAGGGGACCTTTGCCATTAATGCCAGATGTTAAGACCCTGCAGAAAGGAATACTGCACATGATAATTAGTATACAGATCAAGATATGTTCTGATTTTTGCCATTTTATAGCGTAACCTGCCATACTTCAGCCTGCAGCGCAAACAAGGGGGACGTCGGTCGATGAATCCGAAAAGCATTGTCTTGAACAAAGTCGTAGCCCTCAGCATCTGTAGCTGTTCGCGTTTACTGCGTGCTGTGTTGAAAACATCAGTCTCATCCGGTCGAACAGCGGTCACCTCGATACCCCGATTGGAGTACTGGCACCCCTTAGTGCCTGCCAGAAACCACCGAAAGTCCCCAGAGGCCCTTAGTAACCAAGGCTCTAGAAACCTCTGAAGCGCTAACCCGCTGAGTTCTGGGAGTGGCGAGGAGCGTTCATGAACCTAAGCTAGGGGGCACTGAGGGAAAGTTTAAGATTTCCTTTATGGTCCCTACAGAGGTACCTATTCATAAATACCTTTCAGGGCCCCAGAACTCCCTAAACCCTACACCCTAAACCGTGCCCAGAACTACAACCCAGCAAGGGTGATCATAGCATCAACGCCTTATGTCGCTCAAGTTTAGCTCATCTTAAGGGACAATAGGAGGGACCCCTAGAAGGGACCCCTAATCCTAATACCCTACATAACCCTTATATACCCCTTATATAGCCTCATAACGCCCCTATATCATTCCAAGGGTCCCTTGAAGGCTCTCTCCTTTAGTCCTTGATCATCCGAGGTGGGTTTCTTTGATGCCGTCGTTTTGCCACTCTTCCGGTGTTTTCATCAAGCTTGTCCAAGAGCAAAGCCGATGCTGGAGATCCATGACCCGTTTGAGGTTTAGGTTTGGGGTTTAGGGTGTAAAGGTGTACTGTAGGGGCCTAAATACACCACTACTCTTTTGGTGGTTCCTTATCATACTTGCAGTATAATATGCCACAAAACCCTATTTTAATTATTAAGGCCCCTACATTAAGGGTGTAGGGTTTCGCTCCTGGCATATGCATAGCCCAGGTGTGAAAGGGATTTAGGGTTGAAGGTTGGGCTTGAGGATTCAGGATGCTCCTTGGAACCCTATATCCTAAGCCCCAAACCCCACACCCCAAACCC